TTAAAGATTTCAGAGTTCAACTCTTAACCAATATCACATTTTCAATACTTTTCTTGCTATTTCGATATATATTTCCTGAATAGATGAACATATAATTGGAATTTGATGAATATCAAAATATTCAAACTGCAATCGGACCTATAGTTTGGACTTCTATCTATAATGATAGCATAAACTTGTAGAGCCAATCAAGACACATTCTCTGTTCAAGTTGTGAATGTTGAGAACAAAATTAGCACAAAAATTTTAATTTTCGAAAACAAGTTTATAATAGTCGTTCTTTAATTCAGATCAGTCTGAGTCTTCGAAAAAAGTTCGTAGATACTTAAGAGTGATTGATGTCAAGGTAATCAGCTGCATGAACTCGACTTGATAGTAACAACATGCTTGAAGATGAACGCTAATTCCTATAGATTTTGATTGGTTACCTCAAAATTTATCTAATCTTTTTAAACTAAGCAAAAAAGTATCAGAATTAAACAAATTTTCGTATAAACACAGGGTGATGTGTGAAAACTGTAAAAATATACGAATGTTTCGAAATGTTTCAGCATACATGCGAATTGTTCGAAATGAATAAGAATGAGATAGATTTCTGAACAATCTTTTCTCTCTCAGTAACAACTCCTTACCAGTCATTCTCTGGACTATTTTTCTTAGTTCAGTCAACATTTCAGTGTGGATTTCGTAATCTTGAAGATGTTTCTGCAATTCTTCTTTTCATTGCGTATTTTCTTCTTGTGATCGATGCCGAAACTGTCGAAATTGTTCTTTGAGACATATCATATCGGTATGACTTCGAGTCGCATCACGTTGCTTGTAGACAAGTTTGCAATCTTCACAGGTTGTTTCAATCAATGCACACTGAGATTTATGTGTCTCAATTTCCTTTTTAGCAAACCGTGAATGACAACCAGGACATCTTTGAGGCTGAAAACCACCTTCTGTCTCATGGGTGTGGGTGTGGTGTAGAGATAGATGTTCTCTTCAGCCACACCCACACCCACACCCATCCACACCCACACGCCACACCCACACGCCACACCCACACCCCACCCATACCCACACACCCACCCACACCGACACCCACACCCACAACTACCCCACACCCACACCCCTTTTCTATCTTGTATTCAATTAATTTATATTTTACCTGGATTTTCCCATGAAATAGAACAAAACAATTCACTAATCTTTTGTAAAATATTCGTTAACTAGTGAATAATAAATGACTTGTCATGTTAAAAGATAAAACAATGAGAAATTTCACAATAGTCAAATCAGAACAAAAGTGTGAGTACGGAGGAGAAAAAACATGACTATCCTTATTTATTGATAAAACTTTTTTTTATTAGAAACTCTTTGTCATTTCGAACACCCTTCATAATTAACAAAACAAAATTTTATACGCATGACTTATCCATGAATATATCAATAAAAAACTGTTAAATCAACATGTAAAATTCGTTTGAATTATGGTTGATAATCATCCATTATGGTAATGAACAAACTTCTTTTTTTCTAAATTTTGTTTTTCAAAAAAATTCAATTGAGATTATTCAAATTCTAAAACTAAGAAAAATATTTTCTGATAAAAAAATCATTGAATTAATCAAAGTTAAAAATAAATATTAAAATTTGATCAATTAGTTGAGATTTATTATCAAATATTGTATTATAAATGTTGATGATGAATAGTATGTATTCTTGTCATTTGATAAATGAAATAAAATTTAAAGATTGATCGTTGCTTCTTTTTTTCTTCTTTTTTAAGAATTGACTTTCAGTTCGAGAGTATTGAAATTCAGTAAGGCAAATCATATTCTTCATCGATTATCTGAAAAAATCAATTAATTCATTCAAAAAAAAAGGTCAGAAAATGTTTTTGTTTGATTGCCAATAATTGTATGTATATATATAATTTAGTGAATGACTGATCGAGTTGATACTGGTGTAATGATGACGTCTCGTCGTCGTCCATGTGGAATAACACTTGACAGAGTGTTGCAAATCTTTTCTTCATTTTTGGTTCCATTATTGTTGAATGTATTCACAATAGTGATTGCTATTTATCAACAAAATATCGGCAATGATAATCGATTAACCAACATTGCGATCGCTTAACAACAACGATTTCAAGATTTTCAACAAGCTAAGGAACAGTGAGAGGCCGATTACAATGCAAGCATTCAACAGCGATTAGAGGATAAATAATCTCGGGAAGACCAACGTAAACAAGATCAACAAATGGCTGAACGAATGCAAAACAGCTTCACTAAGCCGTAGATAGAATTACCACAAACATTGGATCCAATCGCCAGACAAATAATATAACAGAAATTGATCTGAAAAAATGGGCTGATCAACTGCAACAACTTCAAAATTTGCTTCAACAACCGTATCCAATTACTCTTGTAAGCGAGTCTAAATCCACAAATACAATTCATTTTATCAAAGCAACATATGAACCGCATACCCCCAAGATAAAATCAAAAATATCGAACCAGGTGATCAACCAACATTGACTGTGGATTGTGATCATGCCCAACTTGTTTCTCGCTCATCATCAATGAAAACAGAATGTTCAATTATCCGTCGATATGAATAAATATCCACCATTTCCATGAAAATTATTTGTTTCTTCATATGATAAAGACAAAATCCGTATACTTCACCAGATCGACAAATGACAATCACACTAGTGTTTGGTTTTCTATTGACATAAAGCCAATCTTACCTTGAATGTATCCTCGTTAGGGTTTAATCCAAATTAAATCGATAGATCATCATATAAAAGAATTGTCTAATTTATTATGTATTGAAGAAAAACAAACAAAAACAAACGAGTTGTCAAACATTTTAGTTGTCTCTAATCTACGTAGCTACTGCATACAATATGCAGAAAATCACAGCCAAAAACGAAATCTTGAAAGTTCAATGTCATTTCGACTATTGGGAAATTGTATTTGAACCATTGAATGATAAGGTTCAACTTTTTCGCAATCGATTTCGCCATGAATATCGAGAAAGACAAATTCTTTCAAATGTTCAACTAAGTCACAAAGATTTTGTCTAAAGATAGCCACATGTTGAGCTAAACAGAAAGAAATTTATTATTTATTGGTTTCCTTTTATAAGCATGTTTTATTTACGTACCGATCAATTCAGGTGTTCGTAGAGATTGAAACCATTGTCGAAGCGAAACTGCATAGAAATATCCTGGCTTAAGATTTGGTCGAACTTAACGAAAGAAAAAAAAAACAGGAGTATTACAAATTGTTGAATTATAGATATTTTTCATTTTTTCTTTTACTGAACAAGATGGACGATCATACAATATCTCTATTTATTTTAGTTTCATTTTTGAAAAATAGTGTTAATTCTTTTCTTTTTTCTTGAACGTAACAATTATTATTGCCTAACGATATTTTTTTAGAAAAGAAAACCAATCAGACAGAATTAGGTGTCTTATATATAATTGTAAATAATTCTATCTATTTATGTTACATATGTAAACATTAGAAATTGTTTCTTCACGATCTATACTAAATTCGATACTTTTAAATATACCATGAGTAAGACTCCTATTCCGATAATTTTTCTTTTCTCGATTACTTTACTTCATTTTTTAACAAAAACATTCTGAGAAAACAAATCAATTGATATGAATTTGATTTCTATTTTAATGAAAAAACTTCTCGTATTTTATCATGACTATGTGTCCAACTGTTAGGAAAAGAATTATTAAAATTAGGAGATGATTTAGAAAACCTTGGTGTACAAACAATAGAGTCACAACCTATGTACATCTCCTGTTGGTTCATCCATGTGTGAGCATTCGGTCACTACATAGCTAGACGCTCTGACCTCATGACCGAAAATAGCTGTCCATTCTTTCTGTGCTCTACTCATCATTTTCTCTCTCCTCATTTCTCTCCTATATAAACTCGTGTTCTATGTAAAGTAGATACAACTGGAGTGATAAAATAGTATTATGAACATCGTATACAGAAGATAGCGGTAACGCTACTCCTCCAGTTTGTCGTTGTGATCACAATAAAAGAAATGCTGCAGCAATACGAAAGAGTCTATCCCTCTTTTTCGTTACACTTGGTACATGTTATTTCTGCCTCAATTTAATTTTGATATTAGGCATAGTCATATGCCCAAATAGTAGTAGCATATATATTTCATAAATTTCAGTTACAATAAATAAGATAAGATTAAAAAAACACAACAGTGATGTTTAATAAGCATCTCTAAATAAAAAATTTTCATGATTTCATCGAGAATTTCATAATTGAATTTTAAATCATATTATGAAAAGTTTGAACGAGCAAAGTAGAAAATAAAACTTGCAGAAATTGATTTTATTTCTAAAGCATTGTTTCGGAATTATAAAATACATTGATTCCAATTGCATAAAATATAAAGACAGCTGATGGAAAATAGAATTCATATAGAAACTAACTTCTTTAAAATTCGATTTTAAGTTTGCATCAGCTTCATTAATCAAGCGTTAATCGAAATTGGCAAATTAAACAATAGAAAAAAGTATTTATCATAAACAAGCCGTATGAGAAATTTGTTGTGATTAGTTTTCTTTTTAAAAAACATACGTACTAGATATCCATGGAAAATCATCTGATCGCCAAAGATGCAATGTTTGTAAACGAGGCATATAAGTGCTAAGAAAAGGCACAAGATTTTTGCCAATATGAATAGATTTGTTTGAGCCACGATGGCAACTGGGAAGGCGAAATTCAACATAGCGCACAGTATTCAATGCATTTTTTCTTAATTCATTGGGTGCCTAAAAATAAAGTGTAAAAACATAAATAGAATAACATCAAGCTATCATGTGAGCTGACTCGTCAAAAAGTGGCACATTTAGTTAACTTTTCTTTGTATATTTTTTCCTCGAAGACAAGCAGCTATCTGTAGGATGTTGAGATCTTTAGTTTCTTCGTGTATTTTTCAACTTTTGCAGCGCTGTATTTACTGTCAATGAACAAAATAAAGCGCATCTTCTATTTTGTTTTTGTTTAATAAAGCATACATACTATGTCTAATAGAAATTAAACACAAAATATTAAACCATTGTTTTCATTGTATTTGAGAAAGTTTTTCTTTCCATCTTCAGTTATCAGGTCTCTATTCAAGAAATATGTCTCAAAATCTTGAAACAAATTAGAAAAAGTCAATTTTTTTAATTATATACGATGTCGTAATGGATACGTTTTTCTTTTCTCTTTTCATTATGTGAATTTGAAGTGTGATATGAAATATTCCTTAACCGAATGGAAAAGAACTTGCCTTTCGATAACTACTGGTCGACGCGTTTAGTGTCAGTTCAAAACAGAAACAAAACTATTTTAACTGTTTAGGTTCGTTGGAATACCGTGTATTCGATTTAAGAACAATAAACTATGTCAAAAGCACTATCCTGAAGAGTTTATTGTTAGCAGCTGAAAAGAAATCGGCTTTCATAATTTTATTTACTCTTTGTCAATGGATATTTAAATATGATTAAATATACTTTTAATCACCAGGAAAAAGATATTTTTGATCATCACATGTTTAGATACAAATGATCACCAAAAAAGAATAATTTTGATCGTTAGGCTTTTATTTCGATCCAATCTTCTTGTCTCTATTACATGAAAAAACATTGCGACTTTCGTATATTCAGCGAAGATTGGCTTTACTTCCGAAAAAAACTTGTTTCGTTTTATGTTACGATCCTGTAAAATAAAGTTGTTCGCTTATAGAGATGCAACGGTGACGATCATTCACCGGTCTACCGTTAACTAGTCCAAACCGATAATCGTTCGACCGATTACCGGTCCATACTGATAATCTTTAGACTGGTTACTGGTTGGCTACGGTTATAGATCAAACGCTTACCGTTACCGTTGTATCCCTATATTCTTTATCATTTACATTATATTCTTGATACTTTTCTTAATACATAAATAAAGAAGTCATAAAGTAGTCGTCCTAAAGCTTTATCATGTCCAACTGGAAATGAAAAGTAATTTGATTATATATTTCTCCTTTGTTAAACAATTCGTGCTTTTTCTTCTCAAAGAATTTGCTTGCTTAAGACCTTGTTTGTTGTCTATTTGGTAATGATAGATTTTATTTCATTGTATAGTATTGAAAAAGATAGAATACTTATTCTTGCACAAGGTCCATTTATGTCATCATAATGGGCGCATTTGTTTTTACCAATACTCGTTCAAATTCATAATTTGCCTAATTCAAGTTCGAATATAAATGAAGCTCTCACAGCTTCATTTCATTTCAAAAAATAAATGCAAAAAAAAGAAACAGCACTTCCGCTTCCAGCGACTAAAAAGCCAAAGATAAATTTTTTATGCCAGTTATAAATTATAATTTATAGAGAGAATTTCCTACGACAATGTCAAAAGGCAAAAGATAAAGTTTTACCAGATATATAATTGATATAGAGACTTGAGCATGAGAGTGAGAGCGATGATGAGAGAAAACCGTATGGCGATATCGGTAGGAACCCACATGCGGATAATCGTCAAGGGGAAGATCTTTTGAATGAAAGGGGAGGAGCGAGGGTGCGAGTACGGATGAGGACGAGGGGAAGCCGTGTGTCGATATTGGCAAAAGCAGAATTGCGGTTGGTAGTTAGAAGAAAACGCTTCTTTTGCTGTGTTGTATGGTTGAAATTTAGTGAAAGCCGTTTTGATGTCCCTGTTCTATTGTTTGAGTGTTTAGTAGCTTTGGTGCTTCTATACCTCTAATTACTGTATATATCTTTATATAACTTATAATTGAGGTAAAATTTTATGCTTGGCTTTATGGCCGCTTATAACATAGCTGCTTATATAAATTATAATGTATAGTTTATAATTTGTAATATATAATGAAAATAGGGTTTGGCTTTAGCTTTGTTCATGAAAGTGCCTATGAAATTTTGAAAATTTCATTTATATTCTAACCCGAAATAGACATCTACTCTACAAATTAATTGTCTTAAACACCGCTCATTAGATTTAACAATTTAAAGTTAGATGATCAATATAAGTACTTACGTATTGAACAACATGTAAAAGCCACTCGAATTGTTCAACTCGAAGTTCATTTAGTTTAATAGGCATTGAAATAAGATGCGCTAACATCTTTGCACGTGCCTTGATTTGATCAATTGGTTCGGTGCACATTTCTACAAAGAAATTTCATTTACATTTTGTTTTGATAATAATAACATATTTTAAATAAAAAAATATGCCTATTTCTAGCCAATATTTTATAAGATTAATGGGCAACTTTTTCAGAACTTACTATTTAAATGTTTAACTTTAAAGTAGTATAAGAAGAAACGAAAGTAAAATGTTTGAAATGAATCAATTCTGAACTGAGAGTTTGCAAATGGAGTTTCTCAAAAGAAATATCAGTTTTCTCTTTAGATGCAACTAATATGTAGACATTTCAATGACAAAAAATGCTATTACTAAAGCTGTATTGAGATATACAATGGTAATAATTACAAGAATACGGTATTTCTATAAATAATGATTCTCCATGGGTTATTAATACAATTAGTAAATAAACCTGACAACATGACAAGTATATCATAGGTGATCGGTAAAATTAATTTCGCGAATATTGATATGATATATAAAAGGTGACATTTTTAATCTCCTGGATCTCGTAAATTCTTGTATACTTTACGAGCTTATAAAACAATCAAAAAATCACTCCCTCTTGCATTCTATAGCGTTAATCAGCTGTACATATGTATACTTTATCGTGTATGAAACGTGGATTGCAGCCGTATTGATGAACATTTCGCTTCACAACTGTTTATCGATACGACAGAACGAAAAAAATTCTTGCATTCTGCTTGTCTCCAGCCTGAAAACAATGGAATCCAAGAGATTAAGAATTTATTTATTCATAGGATAACATTTCATTTCTTGGTTCTTTTAAGTACAGCTAGCGGTAATATAATTAGACAACAATATGACTTTCTTATAATCATGTTACACCTAAGTGTACGTAAGAAAGCAACACACATACGATTATTTGCCAAATATGACTTTTTGTTTATGATAATTATATAATCAAATTGATTCATCAATTTTTACCTACTAATACATCATTCTCATTTGTATAACAATGAACTGTTAATCGAATTATACTAAATAATTTATCAATACTGTTCATTCAAACCACATTGGTCGGTAACTTGGAATCATAAGTGACTGAATATTCTTTTTTAACCATGTTACACGATCATTTGAATCATGTAGTCATTACATCATGGTCATGGAAATCATCTTATTGATAGGTAAACAAACGAACACAGACGAATCTCGATTTCTAGACATTATTTTAATCTAAGAACAACTATCTTTTTGAAGCGATGGTAAATTGACTTGATTTGTTTTATGAACGGGATCCGAATGGTTGTTCGTCGGACAGTTGCATACTGGCATTTGCTCGCTAAGATACTTGCTCGCTAGGATATTTGGTCATGTGGACCGTTGGTCGCGTGGACAATTGCTCGGTAGGACATTTGTTCGCGAATGAAAAAGAAAAACAAGCAAAACGATTTCGAGTGAAGAGATTATTTAGAGAAAAGATTTTGAACGAAGGAAGATGTAAGTGAGGGTGAGGAGGGGGATGTGGGTGAGAGTGAGGGTTGTGGTTGAGGAAAGAGTGAAGGGGTTGGAGTGTGTGTTCATGATGATGTTTTTTTCGCTAGTTTGTGCATTCCCTTTTTTTAGTTTGCGGGGTTGTGGGTTTGAGTAAATACCGTCTGTGATTTTTACCTTTTGCTGTTGTGTGTTTTCATCGGTTGACACTATATGAAGTGATTGATTATTCGTATAAGTGTTTCAGTCCGGCTGTTTTTTTCATGGGTAGCGAGTGAAAACGCCGCCGGAACTAGAAAGGTTAATTAATCTTTATGTGGATCACATTGACATTGACGATCATTGTTATAATGATTAGTCGTGTTGATTCATTATAGGCATTTAAAAAGCCCCGTGCGAGTCGTAGAATAGTTCATTAAGAAACCAATGATGTCAGTTACTCATTCAACAATCTGGAGAAATGCTCCGTTACTTATCTACGAAGGATATTCTTATATTATTGATAAACGAGGCACCAAGAAAATATTATGGAAATGCGAACACGCCGAAAAATTTAAGTGCCATGTTCGATTACATACTGATTTAAATAACATATTTATCCAAACCGTTGGCGATCATGAAAATTATAAGGTAGATCCACGTTTGTCATTTATGTTTTCTGTTGTTATTGGTAGAGAAAATCTTCATACGTCTTTTTCATATATTTGCTTTAAAGCATTTTTAGGAGCAAGTGTCCTAGCGAGCAACTATCCACACGAGTAACTGTCCACGCGAACGAATGTTCTAGCGAGACAGAGTCCTAACGAGCAACTGCCCTAAATCCTTTATGAGAAGAACGTTTGTGTTGAGTATTCCGTAGCCAACAACAACTACATATGGTTAGTCTATTTTTTTCTAATATGGCACGATCATTCTCTTGGATATACATACATGTTCGATTCTTACGTTAGTCGAAAAATCTAGAGATAGATTACGATATTTTGAATATTATGGTCATAATTTCCGTAAATATCGACTACGTTCTATTATTATCTTTTCATATTGATCCCTCTTTAATAATACTTTGATCTGAATCTCATCTAAGTTGTAAAGATTTTTCAAATGCTAAGTCAGTACACGAAGAGAAATCAAGTGCTAAACTATTACAGATACAAATCAGTAAAATTAAATAAAAGTAATGAATTTAATTGAGACTTTTTGTTAAAAAAAAGTTATTTATTAGAATTTATATATGATCTATTTGGAATACACTTTCATAACAACATGTACAGATTATATTTGAAGTGTAAAAATTTAATGCACACTTACTGTAATGACGCGAAAAATGAAAGCCAAATTCAAGTCTTGTAACATATCGAAATTGAATATCATTCAGCATGTGTTGTCCTATTTCGAATGGTGCACGTAAGGACGTTGAATAGTGGGGATCACAAGTAATACAGTTATAGTCTGCAGAAAAGTAAATATTTTAAATATCAGAATTTTTATTTTATTAAAGCATATCATAAATAAATTTGATAAGTATTCAGAAAAATAGTTCTATTTGTGCAAGTACTTCAGCGAAAGGAGCTTTTTTTGTTCTATTCGACTTATTCTCTAATCATTTACGAATTCAGATTGACGATAAAGAACTATTTCACACAAATTTCTCTCATACAGACAAAGAATTCGATATAGAATTGATCTTATTAAGGCGAAACAGTTTGGCAGTTTTAAAGCAAATTATGGAGATAGCGAACTTTTGTTGTCTGTCTAATTCATCTATCCGTAAACTCCGAATAATTCATTAGTATAACAAACACTCACCCATATGAACTTTCATCGAAGAGATTTTTGGAAATATTGTATCAAGTCGTTTGAGAAATAGACAAAGTGATGGATGCATATTGATCTCAATATTTCGCATATGTGGCCAATCAACAAGGTATGGATAACTACTATAAAAGAAAAGAACACTGATGTATAAGAAAAATATAAAAGCTTAAAAGAGACAAACATCTTACATTAAACCGTCGAAAACTTTAGGTGGATCAACCATAGAAGAAGAAAGATGTTGATCAGACATTATGGGATCAAAGAAACATGTAACATTTGTCCACTGGCGATCAATAAAAAAAGGATGAATTTTAAATGAATTAATTATTGTTTCGACACTATTCACTGATAACTGCTGACACTTTGAAGAGATGTAAAAATCAAAATCAATTAAGTTTGTCGCTATATCAGGCATACAATATTGACGAACGAAATTCGCATCAACGACAGAATTCCAAATAACTGCATCAGTTCTGTTTGTATCAGTATTTCCAAGACGAAGTTTAAGTTTTTGAATATGATTAAGATTGTTAAGTATCCATTTCAAATAGACAAACTCCAAATCGTTATCAATGAAAGTTCTAAGAATAAAATATTGAAGTTTGGGTACCTATGATCAAAACAGAAAGAAAAATTATTGCGAATCAAACATATATATATATATGAACATTACAATGGCCAATTATTCTCAGCAAACTTCTAAAATAACAATAAGCAAAAATTGATGAATTATTACTTCTTCAAGACAGAATCTGACTTAAATCCATAATTACACAAGTTAGTCGACTAAGAAATTTTTCCAAATCAAATCTATTTTCTATTAACTGGAATTATTTTCATCGATTTTCTCCTTATATATTGTACTTGAGTAACATCTGTTAGTATACTTCCACAAAAAGGTCCAATTATGAAGAAATATCGACTGTTTATTTACTTTGCTACCTGTTTGAGCTCACTACAATCTAATGATAGAAACCCTAGAGAATATACTGAGATAAGGGTACCCAAAAAAGTACCCTGATACCAGTATGTCACAGGAACTTTTGGGTACCAAAGTACTTGCAGGTACTTACAGGTACCTCAGTGGTACTTTGGCAAGTACCCTGCTGGAAAATGCACAGTAATTGGGTACCTAAAGGTACTGATCAAGTACTGAATTGGGTACCATTGTATAGTATTTCTAAGTACCCTGTTACCAAATTTTCAGTATGTTCAGGATCGAACCTGATCTTTGACTTTTTAAAATTTTTTCTTTTTCTTGAGATAATTTACTAGATTTTTTTTACTTTATTCAATTTAATTTTTTCAATTCCAAAAACTTAGCAGGAACAATGTCGGGATCCGACTCAACTTGAGTTGGTCGTAGACCACTTCAGGGTAGTCCGATCTTAATTTACGACCAAGCTCGGCATTTCCTCGACTAAGAAATAGTCAAGAAATAATTTAGAAAAAACTAGTATGAAAATAGATTATTTTCTTATGATTTATCGAGTTGTTTATATAGAGCCGTACATACAAAAGAAAACGGTGAATGAATAGTCGTCACACAGAACGCGAAAAATTTAGGATACCCTGTCGAGATTTCCTCAGTAAAGTTACAGACTTGTGTATCCATGCAGGTACTTATTCAGTGAATGTACTTTTACGGGTACCCCAAACAGTACATACATCAGTAAAATTACTGAGAATTTTCAAAGTACCCATATTGGGTACCCTGCTAGAGCTTTCTCAGTACATGGGTACCCTGAACTCAGTACTTTCTCTAGGGAACCTGTACTGCAATTCTTGAATCATCCTGAAAAGTGTTGCACGCACATTGCCAGGGGAACTATTATATTTTTTGATTAGTTTTAACGTTTGTAGAACTGTTTTCGTCATGACAAATAAAAAACTCATTCTATAAATACCCACTATAATACGATTTATACTATTAAAACTTTCGAAAGGACGCTCTTAAAATGATTTGAGAGTGAACGAAAATTCAAAATTTGTCAGACCATCGGAACAACTTTAATTAAGTCAATCAAATCAAATCTGAATTTATTTTGATTCAAATTATTTTGATCTGATCTTTTTAGCTCAAAATATAAATTCTGATCAAGTGATCTGAATTGAATGATTTTTATCAAGACAATAATTTAAAATTGAATAGTTGGTAAAACTGAGATATGATATAATATTATTTTTCAAATCGACTGATTACGAAAGATATTTGACTAAAAGAAAAGTAAATAGAATGTGCATTTGTCTTACCATATCAAACCATTTGCTCTTTGCTTGTATAATGTCTTCAATAGTTAACTTAGATCGAGGATTCAAGGTCAATGAGTGTTCAAAATGAATCGATAGTTGTTCGAGAGCGGGCACATGATCAATCAAATAATGCATAAAACATGTATAACTAAGACGAATATGTAAACGACGCATAGTTAAACAAGAGGATTGAAATTCATTTCTTATTGAACTTGAAGCAAGGTTATATGGAAGAGGTAAACATTGATAAATACCAATAAAAAAATCACCATCAGCAATATCAAGCCGCAAAGAAGTTAGTTGACATTGGCTAGAAAAAAGTTCATGTAGAAGTTGTTTCAGCATGGCAACTTGTTTCTCTATTATGTAAAAATTAAAAACAGAAAATGGATTTTTTGTTATAAGAGAAATAACTACATTGTTCAAAGAAATCATATTTATTCATATGTAACCCTTTAAGAGAAAGGCTCCTCTCCGAACCTAAAATTTTCAAGTTTATCAGTCTTTACCTTCAGTATACAGATTTAAAAGCTCTCTATCGATGATTATTTTCAAAAACTGAATGTCTCTCATTTATGTATACAAAAATTCAAAGAAAAACCTATATTTCACTTTAAAATCGAACAATGCAATTCTTTTCGATTCTTCAAAAGGAATCAGATTTCAGAACAGAAATTTGCACTGTTCCGCTAGGTACAATTCATTAAGTGTAAAATTTTTTAATGAATACTTTGATCAAATCGAAGTATCTGCCTTCTTTTTTACTCCAAAATGTTGTTCCTACAAAACTTCGCAGCTTTTACAAGATTAGCACCGTTGAAAAAAGAAGTTTTTGATATTACCTTCATTATTTTGGTTGTCTCGAGTCTCAAAAAAAAAAATTTTTTTACATAAAACAAAAAACAATCCAGACTCGATGTTCACAGTCATACAAAAAAATTTCAGTACTAAAAAATGAAGCATAAATTTTTGTGAAAGGTAGAAAGAACTTCAGATCATTTTTAGCCCTTGTGTTCTCAATATCTCTAAGAAGAAAGCATTCGAAAATTTTGATTTTTTCATAATCTTTCTTCTACTCATCGAAATATATCTATCCTAAAAGTTACAAAACTGTTCGCCAAGTCATTCTTTACAATCCTCAAAACAAGTGGAAGACACTCTCGACAAATGTCAAACAATATATTTTTCAGTAAACTATTAATATTGGCTGTGCTCAACTGTCTCAAGATTATCTAGAAGAATATCAATTTTCGACTATCAAATGTCAAAACCAAATAAGAGAGAATCGATAAAAGAAATCATCCTATTTGATTGTCTATGCAAATAATATTTAGTATTACAGAATTGTACAACTAGCAAATAGTCCAATGGACGAGTTTACACTATCATCTGATAAAATCAAAACAACTAAAATTCTTCTTTTATCTAAAATTGAATCTGTTGAAGTATTAAAATCGATCCCATGTAATCTTGCACTTTCAAAAATAAAAAATTAAAATCAAACATTTCAAAAACTACATAATTATTTCATATCAAAGCCATGTTCTAGCATTTATCTCATTTTTTTCAAAGATCTTCGATTTAATACTATATGCTTTTTCCTTTTTAAAAAACCTTTTTATTTTATTTTTATAAATTTTACAAATTGGAAATATTTTTATCGAAACATATCTAACTAATTTTGTATTTGCCTTCAAGTTTTAGATCCGAAGACAGTAGACCAACAAATGTTTCCATTAAATCAAACAGCCAAGAAATTCTCAACTCTTATAGTTTTATTTCTTTGATACTTTATTTGCACTCATAATTTACATTAGAACGGTCAACATTTTGGAGAAAAAAAGATACGTAAAATATGATAAAGTACTAGTGCATATTTAATGTTATGTAGATCATGAACACTTAAAAAGGTTACAAGTTGAAGTGTGCAAATCTCATTTTACTTCTGAAAAAAATTTCGTAAAATAATGATTCATTACCTTTAATCAAAACAAGTATTTGAGGTACATTCAAGTATCGCTCGAATTCGAATGCCTCTTTATCGAATGTTAATGTAAGCTCATCTAGTCGATGTTTCATAAATAATTTTAAAGTTCTATTTAATGATTCAACCAACAAGCATCGAGTAAGAACAACTGATTTAAGATTAGGATAACGATGAATATTTCCATCATGATTGTTGTTATTATAAAATAGCCATTCATATATAAAATCAGAAGCACTTGAATTTGTTCCATCAAAATGAATACGATGAATATAAGAAGCAAGAGATGGTGATGATGAATTACAAATTAAAGGAAACAATGTTGAGCAGCATTTTTTAAAAGATAAACCTGGTTCAGTAAGGTTAATACCATTTGTAGACATGATTGAGCAAATAAGAGAATTGAATCGTTTATTCAATGACCATAAAGAAGTTATCATTTCAAACCATGATAGACACGAGAATATAGAAAGAAGAACTTCATTTGGTAATGTTTCCAATCTATTTATCATCTTATCTAAAAGGCAAATAGTTAGTTAAAAAATGGAAACGATATTTTCCACTTCCACTGTTATTTTTTAAAATAAAATAACTTCATATTCAAAAATCATTTGCAGAAAACTGAAAAGAAGAACAGTTTCTTTGTTTATTTCAAACCATACACACGCAAGAGATTATCCTTTCGCAGTTTTTTTCCTTCTACATGTCACTTTGAACTTCTCCATGCTGTACTGATCAATATGATAATAGACTGATGCCGATAAAGGCATCTGTAAAAAGACTTCTCTGCATATTCCTCATATATACACTATAATTTGTACACTATTTATTAAATTAAATAAAGCAGTTTCATCAACTTTCATATCGTGATAAAATATGCAAAAAAAATCAATTAACTCTTATAAGGATCAGTAGACATTTTTTATAAAAAGATTTATTATCTCAACAAAAGAAGGATATTACCTAAAATTCGCACATAATTTTTTTCGTATATATTTATCGGTTTTAATTCGAATAAAAAAAAATCGTTTAACTATATATCTCTGATGAATTAATGTTTTCCCAAGATTATTTTCTGCAGCCTAGAAAAAAATTTCTTAGTAGTTCGAGTACATATCTTATTTCGTTACTAAGGCATTTTCTATCAATATTATTTTTGCTATGTCTAACTCCATCATAGAAATAAAGATACAATCATTTCAAGAAAAAATAAACGCCAAATAAGAAAATATATTAATATATATGCGTCATTCTCTAAATAAATATATGCATTTTTAGTCGTCTTCTGCAGCTATAAAGTTTCTTCGAGTTTTTTTTGAACATCAAAATTGTAAAAAGATCTTAAAAAATATAACATTTCGTGGATAACTCAACGAACTGTATCCAACCAAGGCAAAAAAACTGATAAAAAAGTTTGCTCAAATTTCGAATTTCTCGCAATTTAAGTAAACGAGAAAAGATTCATAAAGCAAAATCAAGTTAGTATAGGATGATGAACCATTCGAAATATTAGTTCCACATAATGCAATATTTACACACAAAAAGAATTGAGACTTTCTAGAATTATTTATATCATATATGTAATTAAAACTGAAATAAAAATCGTTGACTAAACTAATTTCCTCTCTTCGTAAGTTTTGAGAATGTACAAGTACAACTAATACATGTACACTTAATGTCATTTATTTCAATATAAAGTTTCTTTTTTTTAAATTTTTTCTGATTATTAGACAAGTAAAAAACAAGATCTCAACTTCGAGTTTTAATAATACCAAACTCAACGGGTTCATATCCATTTGACGTCACACTCCAACGCTCAGGCTTGATCAAGAAACATTCTAATTTCTTAATCAGCAATTAGCCTCACCACTGAAAGGCATTCTCTTCAACTGAAACTTTGTCAAATCACAGAAGAAAAACGCAGCTTTACGTCTCATACTCCACTTGTACTGCACGTATTTGTTTCAGGTAATGAAGTCGCGCATTTTTATTCTTGCTTAAATCCAATCTGTAAATCTTGAACTAAAATCAATCAAGAAGATCACTTATTGACCTACCCGTGACAAACCTCATAATCCCTGATTATCTGCCCTTCACATATGGCTCAAAGAATCTGAAAAGTTCTTTTCTATTCAGTTCAAGAATATAAAACAAATCTGAGTTTGGGATTAATTTTATCACTAATTTCGAACGAAAATAAGACAAAGCTCCTAGAACAAAAGTAATCTGGCTAAGAAAAGAATTCATTTGTTACACAATTATACGTATGCAGAGAAAAAAAGAAATAATATTTTCATCTCTTGTATAATTTTAACATTTCAAATAAGAATGAAGATATATGAAAGAGGTCATTTTTTGTCTCCTTTCTTTCTTTGTATTTTTATCTCAGCATATATCAATTTGACGAAAAAATTTCTCATCGGCGAATGTGGGGTCAAACATAATAGAAAAATAAAAATTGAATTAAGATATTTAATTGGTGTTGCTACTTAGAGACACCAATCAAATTTCTTAATTCAGTTTTTATTTTTATTTTTGTATTGCGTTTGACCCCTATGACAATTGGTTAAGAAATTATTGTTTTCTCTTGATTTATTAGAATATGGTATGAGAATTCTATTGAAGTGTAAAAGAAAATATAAATATGTCTATATGATGTAATTTAATTAAAGATCTGAATAAAAAAATACCAAAAAATAAGAATATCTTCAAATTCAAATAAATGTAGATGATTTGATTCATTAGCAAATGAGTAAATTTTTGTGAATAAATTCTATTTGTACGTTAAGCCTTTTTCATCTGACAACAATCGAAAAAATAAAAAGCTTTTCCAACTGAAATTTACTATGATTCTGGATACAGTTAGATATTTTTTTGATTGAATGATTTTTTTTGCATGTAGTGATAAAGTACATCATGTTATTGTACTAGTTAACTTTAAGCCAATTTTAGTATTATCTTCATTTTTAACGTTTCCTCTTCACTTGTAGCTTTCTGTTTGGAAACCAGTGCACCCAATTTGTATTAAGCCGTTTACGTTCTGTCGTATTGCTCAACAAGACTTCTTGATCATATCTGATATAAGACATGACTTTGCATTTATGTTAACTCGAAATCACACCGATATTATGAAGTTTAGTATTAATAATGAACAACTTTCTTTTCGATATTGTATTATTTTAAATATTTTATTACTTGGCAGCTACATTAACAATCTGGATGGCATGGCTTGTAGACCACACATTAGCTGGACATAAAAATCGATAGCAAGTACAGAAATTAAAAGAGGAGTGAAGTGGGTAATTCATACATTCTACCGTCATTCTTGTTTGGCGCGTCCTAAGACGACTCTTACTGCATACTGGTGGCTTGAGAAGCAGCGAAAATGAATAATCTTTTTGTCAGAAGTCAGTTTATTTGGTTTCATTCAATATATCATTATATATTTCTCTTAACTTGTATTGTACTATCCTAAATACGGGTGTCAACTCATTTTTGTATCTTCTTAAAATAAAGAATAAAGATGAGTTAAAGATTTTTGCATTTTCGAAAGATGAAGATTTCTTATTTTCTTTTTATTAAAGGATATATAAAAATAAATTAGCACTTTTAGTTCTCAATCTTATTCGTTTTTTAAATTTTGTTATGTATGCATCTATTTTTGTTATTGATTTTATATTTAACTAAAAGAAATGAAGTTAAAACAGTACTGAACAAAATGTATAGTTAATGTACAAAACTGTATGTACTTATGCAACAGCTTCATATTACAAAATATTCAATTAGCGTAGTTATATATTCCGATCACCGCATTAGTAGTGTACAAGTGCTGTCTTACGAGTAAGACTCATTAGAGTATCTTGCCTCTTTCACTTCTATATACATAACTATGATAATAGCAAATATATATTAGTGCGATGGAACTTCAAAATGAAACATATAACATAATTATTTAGGAACGATGATGAATCATCAATTGTCTTCTCAATTATTGATTAATCTTGTTAACAAAGATGCTTTTTTCTATTGGATGATGTTCTGTAGGACTAAAAAAGGCAGCAACTTTTTGTTCTAGAAAAGTATACATTTTTTTTCTTCAGTTTTACTAAATTATTGTATTTTCCTCTATAAGATAATTATTGGTGTAATCGATAATATGAAATAATGTCCATTATCTGACATTATCAGTTACATGGATAAATGTTTACTTTTTGAATTGTCATTTATTACGTAGTTTTTTTTTTCTAGATAAAGGCCAAAAGACAATAGCTGTGACAAACCGACCGTTTATACCACAAAAAAAACAATTCGATCTGGCATGACCATTTATTTCGCATTGGGCCTTGTAGGCAATATTTACGATTACATAATGTTCGTGCGCCATCATATCAGCGTCCGACATGGGTCAAGCTTTTTTGACTCGATCCGGTCCAAGATGAGCATTACTGGACCCAACCAGACCCGACTTGACCCGAGGGCGAAAATTGTTTTTGGTGACCCGATCTGACCCTAGTCGGACACTTATTTAAATCGTCGCATGTCTAGTTCTATCTATCTGCTTCCTTTTTGACTTTTGCTATTATTTATTTACTCTAGCCAATTGTTTCACAGTAACGTCAATTGTACATTTGACTATGCTGATCCTTAGACACAATTGTTAACCTATTATAAAGTGAGACTTTACGACACTTATGTTTCTAGTCAACGTTTCCCTTATGTCGTTGTATCCTTTTGTGGTGATCGGTTCTTTATGATACGAAAAAATGTTCCTATTCGTTCACTATATACACTTCAAATGAACCTGAAACTTGTTTTCATTACGTACGCAGTATGATTAGTGTCCACTGTTACGGTCAAAATTGAAATCCGGTCAAATTCTAAATTTGTCCGGACAAAATTAGAATTCTAATTTTGACCAGATTATTCTTAGACAAAATTAGAAATCCAATTGTGTTCGGACGAAATTAGAATTGGGCTAGAAATCAAATGATCAAGTTGAAAACAGTTAGAATTTAAATTAAAATAAAAGACTTTCATTTTACAAGCTATTTGGGGATACAGCAAACCGAAAGCTTCAGGATTTCGTATCATAGAATTTAGATTTGGTTTGAACTTAGTTCCCTATGGTTCAAACCTGAAAGGATCTTGTAAGATGTTGTGTCACCAACAACCGTCTACTGTATTAGCGATAGGACAGAATCAGAAAAAGATTCTGGCATCTAGAACCGAATCCAAATCGAAACGCAAAGGATTTGATCGTAAATCCTAAAATCTTTTTTTTTCGTTCTATCCGCCTCTAGTATAGTAAGTTGTTGTTTGTAACACAATATCTTACCAAATTCTTTGATATTCAGATCACTGAAGGCCAAATCCAAACTGAAGCGTTCAAGTCCAAATCCAAACTAAACCTATGCTCCAAATTCAGTTCTAAATCTAATTCAGATCCAATGATACGAAATCCTGAACTTTGGGTTTGTTGTATTCCTAAATAATTAGTCCATAAAATAAAAAATTCTTTTTTTTATATATTTAAACTCGAATTGCTTTCAGGATGATCAATTTATTTCTAGTCCAATTCTAATGTTGTTTGGACAAATTTAGAATTTGATCAGATTCCAATTTTGACCGTAATATATATATATATGTTAATGGATATTATTTCATTTTTCTTATTTTGTGTTTAGCTATTCAACCACATCTGCGACAAATTAAATTCTATCTTTTCGCTTAAATAATTGTAATCTAAATATAGAAGAACTTTATTTTCAGTTAACAAAAAAGAAACAGCAGGCAAAAGAACAAAATAGAACAGCCAATGCTTGTTTGATTTTTGTAATTGGCAAATAAAAAAAATGTAATGCACAAAAAAACCTTGTTATCAATTGAATCAAGAAGAAATGTAGATGATCAAGTGAATTATTTATCTTTGATGATGGACGATGAATATCTATTCAAAAATACAAAAAAAAACAAATTGTACTATTAATTTTAAAATTATTAATATATAGTGCTATTACTAAAACAAATAAAACTATTTATATTCTTATACGATATAAATACGTAATAAAAATGTTTCATTAGAAATATTTATCACAATAACAAATTTCTGAAATTTTATTTCATTTGAATGATTTTTTTTATTTCGAAATTAATCAACTATATAAAGAGTATAAATAAATTGATCTTATAGATTTTCTAATAAAAGTTTCAAGATAGAAAATATGGATTGAATCACAATTAATAAAATAAAATGAAGAATATAAAAAATAGCATTTGATTTAAATGAATAAAACGTTTAAGAATGCTACGTCCTACAAATTCGTTCACCTATCTTATACTTGAACATTAGTTTAATCTTAGAAGGAAGACAAAGATCTAAGATACATCTAAAATATTTTCTTTAGTTTCTCATGAATTTTTTTAAATAATAGCATCGAAAAATCACCAAAATGTACAAAGACAGTATAACATACAAAAGCAAAATTTTGTTTTAACCTAACGAAGTACATATCTGATTTCAAGGTTTGGAACGGATTCGATACAATTCAAAAGCCTCATCAGATTACTCTTGTTTTTGTAGTATCCATTAGTTCAAATCTATCAACCAGTAATCGATAACAGAATACGGATAATTAAAAATAAATTTCTTTTTTTGCAAATATCTTTGTCAGTAGACTGATTAATGAAACGTCTAGAAATAGGATGAATACTATTAACAACATGATTTACCAAGCTATCTATATTTTTGAAGCTGTACATGCGTTATCGGATCCTTTACGTTTACTTGAGATTATATGAAACAGCTCTATTTTTTTCTGCTTTACTAAAACAAGACAGTGTATAAAAAGAAAACTTAGTAGAGAATCTCGCAGAAAAATAAATATGTCATGGATCAAAAGGTAGCATCAAACGTCAACCCTTTAAGAGCCATGAAAGCTGATATCCATCTTTGCTTTTATCTTGGTTCTTCATCATCTACTATAGTGTTTATTTGAAAGTGCTGATTATGTGCAGTTATCAATAACAGTGTCTCATATATATTGTGTAGACGATCAATACTTATATTTCCTATAACGAAAATTGCTTGTCAAAATTTACATAATATTTATCCAGTAATTTTTCTCAATTCACTATCAAGTTTCGAACTATCATTGTGAATCAAATCATTTTGCCATGAACAAGTAAAACGTAAACTGAATGAAATAGAAATGATTCACATATATGTAATCATCTACTACATGAATTATTGAATATCAAATATCGTTCGTTCTGTACAATTGACTTAAGAATATAATGATGATGAAGGAAAAGAAAGTTTAGTAATTTAGAAAAGAAGATGTGGCGTAGCTATATTCAGGTCTTGATTTTCGACAAATTATTGGTCGCATCTACTGAGGGTATTGATTCTACTGGTGTAGAAGTAGACAGTTATCATGTTGTGGTGAATGAGTAATATACGTGATGATTTTAAGTGGTTGATTAATGTTATACATATGGATTCTTTTAAAATTTATATTAAAGTATTCGGAAGTAACGAAAACAGCTCGGTACATGCCTAATTGTATATTATTCAAACTACACATTTCGATAAGAAATGAACAAAACGAGAAACTAATAGTATAAATTAGAAAGACATTATTATGATAACCAAAAACTACAGCTCGATATTAACCACATGTAATCCTCGTCTATGCTGTTTTGTGCTCTTGTTGTCAATTGGAGTAAGTTTTTTTTGTTGTTGTTTAGAACGAGCGACAGAATCGACTATAGTCGATAATGATTACTATAAGCGATTTTTAGTTCAACTCTTACTCTCTCGTAAAATTTTAATTAATAAGTCTGCACATACTTTTTAATTTTAATGTTGCTATTGATGGGATGTTGAAGGCATAGTTGAGATCTAAATAACTGAATGGAAGGTTGTATATTTTTTTAAGTTCTTACTTTTTCTTTGACTATTAGATTATTGAGTAAACTACAAGCTGATGGTCGTTGTTGATATTCTGGATTGATCATTTGAAGTAAAATATTCTTCAATTCAACATCCATAAAATCTTTGAAAAATCAATGAAAAGCAAGTTTAATTATTATTTAATGTTCTTGAATACCTGTTATATTTGGTGGCAATTTTGCTTGATGAATTTCATTCCAAGTATCATCTGGTAAAGTTGAATAAGTATTTTTACTAATTAATTCAACCAACATAAGACCCAAACTAAAAATATCGACTGCTGTTGTAATTAAACCATGATTTACTTCTAATGGAAGATAACGTGTATTATCATTCTCAATAACAGTAGGTGGCTAAATAATAAAATTTTTTTAGTTGAATACAAAATAAATTGATGACTTACATATCGTACATTGTAAATCCGACTAAAATCACTAAGTTTATAAATAGAACTAGATGTAATTAAAATTTTTTTTGGTTTAATCTAAATTAATATTTAGAATTTAACTTTATTTTGTTTTTCTTATTTACTTACATTCATGTGAACAAATAATAATGAATGAAGACAAATAAGAGCCTAAAAAATATTTTAAATATGCTAAAATATTCTTTATTTTTTGCCTTACTTGACATATTTGATAAATTAAAGACCAAATCATTAAATCATTCATTCGATTATCTTGTGAATATTGAAATAAACTTTAAAATAAAAAAATATTAAATTATTGAATTAAATCCTTTTTTACGTACTCCATTTCACAGAGTTCTGTTTGAATATATAAAGATCCTTGTTCTTCCCATGAACGTATTAATTTAAGAATATTTGTATGTGTAAGAATTTTTTGATGAAAATTTATTTCTTTTAGTTTTTTATTACTAACAAAATAGAAATGAGTTAGAAAAGAGATGCTCCTGTTTGTTAATTTTACCGATGTGTTTCATCGTGAAATAATATTAATGAACGTTTCACTGCATAAAGACGATTATCCATTTTCGAACGAACTTTGTATACCTAAAAATATAAATTTAATGTAAGCTTTTCAATCTTTTTTAATAAGATAGAAAATCATATCTCGTTAAATCTTGGGTGTGGGTGTGTGGGTGTGAGTGTGTGGGTGTGGGTGTGGGTGTGGGTGTGGGTGTGGGTGTGGGTG